GGAAAACGCCGGCGTTCGTGATCTGTGCGGCTAGGCGGGCGGTCGGGTGAAGTGCGCGGACCATTTAGGCTGGGCTGACTGATAGCACGTCAGTGAAGCGTTCGTGCCACAATGCACAAGCTAGCGTTTTTCGTGTTGTCGCTATGCATTTTGTCACGTAAGTAGGAAGAGTGGGTCAATGGGGAAGATATCTTTCTTAAGCTGCCTCATTTTGCTGACTCCCGACTTCAGATCGGGTTTCCCCTTCATTACACTGAATGTGGAACCTCATTGAATGTCGTGATGTATGTATGTATGTATATGACAGAGCATGACAGTGTACTGACTGGCTGTCCCAATTGCTGAGATAACCTGATTAATCCCCAGAAACTAAGAAATTTAAAGGTCAACAAATAACAATAATTTATTTTATTCTTAACTTGAGGCTTTTCAGTTATGTGTTATCCATTTTACTCCTTGAGATTTGGTGGTTTGGCATTTAAGTAAAATAAATATGCAGATCTTGGTTGATATGTATCTATCCAAACAGTCTGTTAACATTCTTCATTTAATTTGCAGTTATCAAAAATTCTTTCTTATGTAATCAATGACAAGATGTGCATGCTTAGGTACTTTGCCAAACCTCTGAAGCAAAGAAGGGAAGTACATGTTTTCTACCAAATGCTTAGTGTGTCATGGGAGCTAATGCTGTTAGCGCAGCATGGTAATGACTGTCATTATCCTTAAGAAAGTAGAGACCTGTAGTTTCACACTGCTTGTCCCATGACCCTGTCCCCCTTGCTCCAAAGAGAAGTTGTAGTACCCTCCCCAAAAACTCACTGGGTTTTCATTGACAAGGTCAGGGCTTTGTCAAATACTTCTTGTGAGCAAAGTCATTTTGTATCTGAATGTGAAGTGGATTGGTAGCCAGAAACAAATTTCTTGTGGATGCTGTGGAAGGAATTGCATTTGTGTAAAGCCCTGCTGAACATAAATGATTTAAGCTTAAGCAGTCACTTTGTTCATCAGTTTAATCATTCAATTTTTTTCTCAAATAAATTCAGACAAAAGTTTAATGAATTCAATCAGTTTAAGCATTTAGGATCCTATCTTTATAACTGAGTTTTACTTTGTGCATTAGGCAAATGCTCATGAAAGTTCACTGTAAGGCACCTTCTCACCAAAGCAGTGAAGTTTCAGTGATGAAATAGCTTGCATTGTTTTGAATGGTGATTTTGTTTGAGTACTCATTTGCTTTGTTGTGTAAGTGACTTTGTTATCCTTCAATATGATTGGTACATTTGATTTTATCATGCTTTCCTTTACAGAGGTTGCTGTACCAAAGGCTGCAGCTGAAGATGACATTGATCCAAATCCCAAAGTTGATGAAGATCTTGGAGCAAGCAGAGAGGGATCAAGAACAGGTAAATGCAGCATGAAATGAAGTATCACATAGACACCTCTGCTCTCCCAGTACTCGCTTCACAATGCTGTTGCTGTGTACTCTATCTTACCTAATGCTCTACATCTACTCTACCTGAAATACCACTATAATTTAGTTGATGTCAGCATACAATCACTGTATCCATGGGTGCAAATGGTCAGTCCATTTAACAACATCTGGAAGCTGCTGTGAAATGTTTCTCTGCCTGAATCTTGCACCACTTTTTGGCATGATGATCTATGAGTTGATGCTGTTGCTAGAGTTCATGTGGATAACAATTTTTCAGATACGGAGACAGTCGAAAGAGAGGAGGAGGCTATCAAGCTGGACGGCCTTAATGTGGCTCAAATGAAGGAATTGCGAGAGAAGTCTGAAAAGCATGTTTTCCAGGCAGAAGTTAACAGAATGATGAAGCTGATCATCAACTCCCTGTACAAAAACAAAGAGGTATGTAATGCTGATAACTCTTGTCATGCACTTAAAAGGTGATGCTCAATTTCAATCTGATAGCCAGCGTCGCTCATTGCCTGAACCAGAATGATTGTCTTACCCAGCCTCAAGGTTTCTTGTGATGTGTTTTAAGAGATATGTTGCAAGCCTGGATATGAGAGATGTACAGTTAATCCTTGGCTGTGTTGTTGAGCACTATTCAAAATGTTCAAAAGTTAGTCATCTCAGCCTCTCAGATGCTGAATGCTTTAGGATGTGTCTTTGGCACTGGTCATGCAAATTAAGTAAGTCAGCAGGGTTATAGTTACATTAATATCTAGCAGCTTCATGTGGCATTGTTGTGCTCCTGCAGTAAATAAAATACTGAGCCAAATGGAGAGTTGTGTTTTTCATTGTCATTCACCACAAAACAGTCAATTTTGCTGCACACATTTTCACTAATCGATCGTCGCTGCGATGTCGCAAAAAGGCCTGGGTCAGCAGGAGGTTGAGTCCCACCTGGCCCTGGCATGTTTGCTGACCACCTGCCTTGACTGCTGCACAGATCTTCTTGCGAGAACTGATTTCCAACGCGTCTGATGCTCTGGACAAGATTCGCCTGCTGTCGCTGACGGACCGGAACGCCCTGAACGCCACGCCGGAGATGTCCATCAGAATCAAGGTACGGCGGCGTGCGCTGGTGCCAGTGGATGGCGTCTCCGACGCGGGTTAGGCGTCCTGTCGCTGCTGGCGTGTGGCCGGCTGGGTATTATTCGCGTCTCCACAGGCCACGCCTACGGCCGGAGCCAGCCCCGGTCTGCTGTCAGCAGGCGAGGCCGCTGGGGCCGGGTGACCCACCCTGGCCAGCCCCGGTCTACTGCCACCAGGCGAGGCCGCTGGGGCCGGGTGACCCACCCCAACCAGCCCTGGTCTGCTGTCAGCAGGCGAGGCCAGCTGGGGTTGGGTGACCCGGCCCGGCCAGTCCCATCTGCTGTCAGCAGTGGAAGTCGCTGGGGTCAGGTCACCCGCTCTGGCCGGCCCTGGTCTACTGCCACCAGGCGAGGCCGCTGGGGCCGGGTGACTCGCCCCTTCGGGCGGGGACCGCCTCGCCAGTAGTGACTGGTCCCCCTACCAAATTACCAGGTGACTAGTTTCTGATCCATTGTTCTGGTGGTGATGTGAGAGAGATTGTGATTGTGTAAATGACGTGGACGTTTGGTTTCATCATGGACTGATGTCAAGGGTGGCTTATTTTTGGGTGTGGTTTTTTCCAGGCTGACAAAGAGAACAAGATGCTGCACATCACAGACACTGGCGTGGGCATGACAAAGGATGACCTCATCAAGAACCTGGGCACCATTGCCAAGTCTGGAACTTCCGACTTCTTGGCGAAAATGTCCGAATCCAATGATGTTCAGGAGCTGACTGATATGATCGGACAGTTCGGTGTTGGATTCTACTCTTCTTTCCTGGGTAAGTGTCATCAGGTGCCAACCACTTTGATATGCTTCGCCATTTAAAGCAGTGGTTTCTAAGTGGTACCACGTTTGTGCCCGGGTGTTGCGTTTGAAAATATTGGTGTACAAATGTACGCTGTACCAAATCCTGCCATTGGATGTGTAACGTATTTGGGCATGAATTTGAAAATTGCAGTGAATGCATGTCAAAACTTGTCAAATGCAAGTTTCATTGAAAATACTCCCTGTTGGTACGGATATAGTTACAGAATCTGTCTGGTGATGTTCAGTGTTCTCTGTGGCCAGTGCTTGTATCGTTCCATCCGGGTTCCAGTGTCCGACAATGTTATCGTAACGTCGAAGCACAACGACGATAAGCAGTACATCTGGGAGTCTGACTCGGCCAGCTTCAGCATCGCCGAGGACCCACGCTCGGATACCCTGAAGCGCGGCACCACCGTCAGGTGCGCCTGCTACAGCTGGCGCGGCGGCGGCGGCGCTCTTCGGCCGGCCGCTACCACGCTAGTTCCGCTTTATTGTTAAGCTATCCGCCCTGCTCTCGTTTTGCGTCGTTAGGAACATTTTGTCAATGCAGCAAATTTATTTCCCATTTTTTTCTGGTTATGATCTGGCCTCTTGCAAAACGTTGGTTGTATCAGCGAGACCCTGCTTTATTGCATACACCCAGGTACTGGGTTATGAGACATTGGTTATGGTGTTGTGCGCTATGCCGCGTTTGACAGCGTGGGTGGGACCCTGGAGAACAATGATGGTGTGTCTCAGGGACTGAGCTGGTGTGCTGTCACCCTTACAGCCTGGTGCTGAAGGAAGAGGCTCAAGATTTCCTGGAACTGGATACCCTGAAGAAGATCATCAAGAAGTACTCACAGTTTATTAACTTTGACATGTACCTGTGGGAGAGCAAGGTAATTGCTTGGTTACATGAAGTATGATGGGTGCACTACTTTGGGGCAATTAACAGTGATTAGTGGTTTATAGAGCCTTACCCGGCCTTGCTACAGACAGAGTAACTGGTGGTTAAGGGATCATTAGCTATCACGAATGCGCCGGCCTTGAGTGTGTTGGTGGGCAGTGCTGTGTGTTGAGGGTTCTTTCTCCTTAGACTGAGGACGTGGAGGAGCCAGTTGAGGAGGACGAAAAGCCGGAGGAGGAGAAAGAGAAGTCCGAAGATGGCGAGGTGGAGGTGGAGGAAGAAAAGGAGGAGAAGCCAAAGACCAAGACTGTCTCGAAGACCACTTGGGATTGGGTGAAACAGAATGATGCCAAGCCCATCTGGACCAAAAAGTGAGGCATGCTACTGATCAGAGATGATGTTGGGTGAATTCAGGGAGTTTTACAGAGGAAGCATGGTGAGTCAAGTTTAAAAAAAAACAACAACCAGCACTTCTTCATTTTGTTCCCTTTTACTGACTTGCATTGTGTCTTGTCTGTGCCAGTTACGTAAGCGTGCACGCATACCGCACAATGCGCCACGCGTGGGTGCGCACACACCATTTCACCTGTGTGATTGGACCTTTATATCAGCAGGTGCGAGAACAGCCAACATTATCTGATGCCGAGTGAAGTGCGTGTCATGTCGCCCACGCGCGCTGTTGTATTACGTCATGAATGCCGGCTTCCGCCCGCCAAACGGTTCTTCCTTCAAACTGACAACCGTGAGCAACATCTGGATATTTCTGGTCTGGGGCAGCGACAGCTGACGTGTCACGTGACACGCGCGCTCCCATCGCAGGCCGGCTGATGTGGAGGACACAGAGTACAACGAATTCTACAAGGCGCTGACCAAGGACTCCAAGGACCCGCTGGCCAAGACGCACTTCGTGGCGGAGGGCGAGGTGACGTTCAAGTCGCTGCTGTACGTGCCTCGCGTGGCCCCCACCGACATGCTGCGCAACTACGGCACCAAGACCGAGAACATCCGACTGTACGTGCGCCGCGTCTTCATCACCGACGACTTCAAGGACATGATCCCCAGCTACCTGAGCTTCGTGCGCGGCATCGTCGACTCCGATGACCTGCCGCTCAACGTCAGCAGGGAGGACCTGCAGCAGCACAAGCTGCTCAAGGTCATCAAGAAGAAGCTGGTGCGCAAGGTGAGCTGTCCGGTTACGGCGATGTCAGCAGTGCGCCGCCCGTGTGCGTGCGCGTGGCACGTGCGTGTGCTCGACGGGTGTCCTCCGGCGCCATGTGATTGTTTTTTTTTTGGGGGGGGGGGATTTCTGGGTGTTTGAAAATAATACAAGCCTCGCACATTTGTTTTCATAAGGGAGTGCGTTCACATTTATTAGGCGTTCACTTTTCTTGTAAACCCTGCACAAAATGGAACGTTTCCTTTTGGTTGCTTCTTCGTGAAACTGCATCAGATAAAGGAAAAAGTTCTTATAGGTTGGCATTGTGGTGTGCTGTATGTGGGATTTTGTCTTTGCTTTAGAGCCCCTGATGACTTGTTTTTGGTTCTTCCATTGTAAAAGGTTGTCGCATTCTGTTTAGCATGCCTTTCTACTACCATGCTGACATATACCCTCCAACTGCAGGTTATTGACATGCTGAAGAAGCTAAACGACGAAGATTACGAGCAGTTCTGGAAGGAGTACTCCACCAGCATCAAGCTGGGCGTGTTTGAGGACGCCTCGAACCGCAGTCGGCTGGCCAAGCTGCTGCGCTTCTTCACATCGCACGACGAGGAGGAGCAGACGTCGCTGGCCGACTACGTCAAGCGCATGAAGGACGGACAAGATCATATCTACTATGTGGCCGGAGCTGACCGCAAGGAGGTGGGTGCCAAGTGGGTTTCGCTGGCGCCCTGAAAGCTCGTTAGAGCTGGATGGTGTGGTTGGGCCTGTGGGTGCCAAGGAATAAGCCTATGGACGATCCTCGACAGCTGCGCCTCGCGGTCGCTGAAGAGCTTTCAGACAACTACGGATATTGCAGCGCCGCCGAGAATAACGTAGTACGTCTTACGGCGTCACGTTGTCGCACTTTCGGGGTAGCGTGGTGTTCGTACGTACCATACGCGCGGTGCGCAGGGAACGTGGCGTACTTTGGTTTCCTGCGTTGACTGGTGTGTGTGTATGTGCGTGTAAAGCTCGTGCTTAGGGCGCGGAATGCGTGTGAGCGGGCGGATGACGCGGCCGGCCGGTCCTCTGCGCAGTGCGAGTCGTCGCCGTTCGCCGAGCGTCTGCTCAAGAAGGGCTACGAGGTGCTCTACCTGACGGAGCCGATCGACGAGTACGCCGTCTCGTCGCTGCCCGAGTTCGAGGGCAAGAAGTTCCAGAACACGGCCAAAGAGGGCATGAAGCTCAAGGAGGACGTCGACAGCATGGAGGAGCTAGAGAAGACGTACGAGCCGCTCACCAAGTGGCTGGCCGATGACGTGCTGAGCGAGGAGGTGAGCTGAAGCCCGGCTGCATAGGCTAAGATCCGACTGATAGCGTGCGGTCGTCTTGCAGTGTGGGTGGCAAACGCACTTGTGTGGCACTGTTAGTTTGCGTATCGGATAAATGTTTGCCTGACGTTGTTTGATATCTCAGGCTGGAGGGAGCCAAACGCGCTTAAATTTCGTAGCGAGGATGTTGGTACGGGAATGTGTCGCTCTCAAATTGCGTTCAGACGTGGACATGTCTAGCGGCGTGGTGTATGGACACTGCGCGCAGTTTGAGAACCCCACACAACTTGCGGCACGGCGACCTTATAACTACGGCGTCCTGAACGCAACTGACCAGCTGATTTTTGCCGCCGTTTTACGTATTGATTTTGACCAGTATTCGGTGTGCAAGCATGCGATCCGGCCATCCGTCTCCGTGCGAGGCGACGCAAGTGGAAGGGTGAGCTTGTGTGACAGCGCACCGCCTCCGCCCGTGTTCCAGGTGGGCAAGGTGGCCGTCAGCAACCGGTTGACGTCGACGCCGTGCGCGCTGGTGGCCTCCCAGTTCGGCTGGACGGGCAACATGGAGCGGATCGTCACGTCGCAGACGCACACCAAGGCCGACGACCCTAGCCGCCAGTACTACATGGGCCAGCGCAAGACGCTCGAGATCAACCCACGTCACCCGCTCATGAAGGAGCTGCTCCGTCTGGTGGAGGAGGGCAGCACCGACGAGACGACACGCGACATGGCGCGCATGCTCTACCGCACGTCCGTGCTGCGCTCCGGCTTCCAGCTGAAGGACACGGTCAGCTTCGCGTCCAGCATCGAGACGATGATGCGCAAGACGCTGGGCGTGCCGCTGGATGAGCTGGTGAGTGACTTCTGCGGGGACGATTCGGCCCGGTGACCGTCGCCTTGTTGATGTGTAGGGGTCGGTAAAGCCGGTGTGGCGACGCTGCGGGTCGGCCAGGCGTTCACCACGGGGTTTGTGAAATCGTGGATGTGACTGTTGCCGGGTTAGCTCCTGCTGTTGGACCGCGGCGAGTCGACAGAACGAACGCACTGCTGGACGATTGCGAGCCAGTGCGGGCCTGATGGTGACCGTGTTTACCGTGCCCGCTGGCGGGTGGTGCCGGCTCGGCCGCAGCCGTGTCCTAACGCCGTGCCGTTTGACCGCAGCCGGAGGAGGAGCCGGTGGCGGCCCCGGCGGAGGAGGCCGAGGAGGTGGCGGCTGACGACGACGCCGCCGCCGCCGCCTCCGACAAGGAGGAGCACGACGAGCTGTAAGGCGGCACGCCCGCCAGCCGTCAGCGGACACAAACCCATGTGATATGTGGTGGGACAGAGCCGGACTCGCCGCACACGGCCACTGCTCTGTGTTTGCGTGTGTGAGTGGGCGTGCGGCGCGGGCAGCACGAGGCTCGGCCGGTCCTTCACTCCTTCCAGCTGTGGCGGTCAGGACGCTGTCCACGGTGGCGTCGCACGTCCGTGATGGCGAGTTGACACGCGGGGGTCAGGGGACGCAGCGCGCGTGGCACGGCTGGTTTGACTGGGCACGACTTAAATTGGCCGGCGGTGGATTTCGACTAGACCTGCGGTGCGATGTTCCGTTAGCGTGGCTGGGCGAATTTGGCAGTTTTGTTTTTGTTCTTCATTATCATCCGGAGTCTGGGAACATTGGGCGTAGTATGGTGGGTGCCGGGAGGCCGGTCCCAAGAACCACCGATTTTGAAGCAAATGTCCCGGAAGTAAAACAAGTGTTCGTTTTGGGGACTTCCCATTTCCGTGGGAATGGTCGTTGTATACTGGGGACGCGCCCACTACCACAAGGCTGGCCGCAACGAAGTTGAGTGTCGTCACCCGTTCGTTCGTGTTGTCCCAGTGTGGACGTTGAAACAATCTCCCGCGATTACCGATGCTCATCAGTCACGTTTGTTATGCATGATGCTATTTATGTTACACTGCAGTGACCACGCGTTTTATGTTGGATGTTCTTCGTGCGATAGCGGCATTAAAAATTGCACTTGTCCGTGTTGGCATTCCCCGACATGTAGATATCTGGGATCAATACAAGTCGTGCTACAAGGTGTGCCAGCTGTAATTCTTGGACTCAATGCCCTGTCCCGGGCTCTGCAAGCAACAGTCGCACTGGGGAACAGAACAGGACAATGCCGGCGCTCCAAAGGACACCATATCTGTGGCCGCCGGTATTCTGATTTGTGATTGGCAGACTAGGTTTCAATCGAAATAAAATGTTTCTAAATAAGGGAGAACTAGCAGTAAGAAGGGGAGCACTTCCTTTTCCTCGTAAAATAACCAGGAGAAATATGATGTATAGATGTGTCGACATTTCGGCTACATGCTTTTGTCGAGACGAGTAAGGGGTGGCGTGAAGGCACGTGGCGACGAGGGCATGTGGCTGAGACGTCAATGCATCATCTCTTCTTTCTCCTGACCGCCCTGCGGGGAACGAGGCCAACGAAACTCTTGCCTACGGGTATATCATTCCTCGCAAATGTACTTCAGCAACTTGCGTAGAATCATAGCTGGCGTATTTCTTTGTTTACCCAGTGGGCCCAGAGGTCATTGCCAAAGCATAGCTGGTAGTTGGCATTGCATTTGCATTGCATTGCATTGCAGAGATCATTGCAGAGCATTGCTGGTAGGCTTTGTAACACTTAGCCGTGATTTAAGATGCATGCCCAGAAGGCGGTGGTCCAGACGGCGCGTGACGCTGGCAAGGTGGTGGTTTGCTCATTGTTAGGCGCCAGCGTTTTGTTGGCAGTCCGTTCCTGTCTTCGCTGCAAGGCAGCTCAGCAGACAGTGTGCTTGCGAAGTGATTGGCAGCTGCTGCTGTCTGCTGTGCGTTCGTGCACCCTAGTGGGCTCATGCGATGACATCGTCTCCTGGAGAAAACGTGGGCAAGCCCGCGCCGCATGCAAGCACAGTGAGCGATGGTCGATGTCTACGAGCTTGACCGCCTCATTGCACTCATGCGAGACCCATATATTGCGGGAGCTTCCTCGGGCGCCCCGCACATCCACTGGCTGTAATTCCGAGGTTTTTTACCCACGGTTATGGGCATATGGGGTTCATAGCAGCACCCCAAGGACCACTCTGATCTAGCTTCTCGGGCAGTGATTAAACCCGTCAAGTTTCGGCCAGAGTAAAGTGCTGAATTAGCAACAGATCATGATTTGTTGGATTTGTAAACGACTGTTTTTTGGGCATCAGAGCATTGTTCTGCGTGAGAAGGATAAGATCACAGGACTTGGTGAGCCAAGTTTGTCTATTTTTCGGGCATATTTCATCCGAATAACAAAATTCGTACCGTCAGAATTTCTCTAATTGCCATTCGTCTTTTTACATCGAAACCAATCGCACTGAATTTCTGCCACCAAGTAGGTTTCCTTTGAGCTGACTTCTGCTCATTCATTTCGTGTTGGCCGGAGTGTCACAGCCAGGTCCGGACCCGGGTTGAAGTCCGAGCACATTTCAGATGTTCGACAAGTTTGATTTCAGCTAGGCCACTTGTTGCGCTAGCTGACTGGTTCTTCAATGACGCACACCCCAGCCGGGACCAGCTGAAAACGACACAGGGTTCGAAGCTTTATCAATTAAAAGGCAATACGTCGTGCCTAATGGGTGACGTTTCAGCAGTATCACATCGTTTCTACTCGGTAAGTAGTTCAGCCCCGGACCGCATATGCCGCCCACACCAACTTGAGCAGCTCAGCGGCAGCCAAATACCGACGTGGTGTATTATGAGACGCCAGATGTGGATTGTACGCTTGGAACATCCAAGGGAGGGCGGAAAGGCTTGGCTAAACCAACTAGTTTGCCATTTCAACCAGAGGTGGAATCTTCTGCATGCAGATACAGAAGCGATACGTATCCATCATCTGTATATTACATTGCTCTTAACTCATCAATTTACCCATTGCCCAGAAGTCAGGAAAGGGTGTCATAACGTTAATAACGTCCACGAGGCTAGGCGGCCCCCTCGACACCAAATCATGAGGAAGCAGAAAGCCTTTGTAAAATCGCATCGAAAGCGCGAAATCAGGCAGAACGACGTGACACTCCATTACGAAAGTAGATTCATCCTAGATTTGGACGTGACGCCACGCCCCTAGCGCGTGCGCCAGTCCCGTGGGCCGCGCCGCCGACACTGCACTGGCGCGGCCCACGGCTCCGCCCGGCCGGGTCGGCCTGCCCCGACACTACCGCCCGGCCGGGTCACAACAGCACTGGCCACTGGGCGTCCATGCGTCCCAGACACGCGCGCGCGCGCTGCCCAGTGGCGCGTCAGCAGTCTGTATCACGTGCGGCCGCTGAGCGGCGGCGCCACCGGCGGTCTATTTGGCGCAGCGTTCGAAGTACACCGTGCCGACGTAGCCGCCGCGTAATGACTTGTTGACGTTCTGCTCAAACTGCCGCCGGTTGTGTTGCAGTACCTCGGCTGCCTCTTTGTTAAGAGGGTCCTCTGGGTTTGGCTCCTGAGGTGGATTGAAAGAGTGGGCTTAGTCAATAGGCTTCGCTTACCGGGCGCGGAGGTAACCCGTCCGGGTCCATAATGGAGGCACGAACACAGCTAAGCTCGCTCACATGGAACAACGAATGGCCTCGCCACAAGTTCACCACAATACGTCACTGCCTCAGGCTGGAGTAATGCCACCATGTTTCGGTGCCATAAAGACGCACAGTCGAGCTGGCTTGCAAGGTACGAGCCGTTTGTTGGAAGTCGCACCAGAGACCCATAAATTATAACTCACATTTGCATTGTGGCCAACGCTACGTCCCTGGTGTGATTGGTAGCACCATGAGAAAACATTAATTGGAAACACTCTGTCATTTGACACTTCAATGTGCTTAAATCGTAGAGGCAAACAAAATAAAAACAGCAAAAGCAAAGCTGGATATGTGCGCAGCCAGTCAAGACAGCAATGTGAGACAGCATCGCACGTTACAGAGGCCTGACGAAGCACTTTCACCAACAACGAAAACTACCTCACTGCCATAGCGCCTTCTTCAACCGACCCGTCACGGAACGACAAAGCACATGCTAGTGTTGCACGAGTGTTACTGAGTTCAGTGCCCAGTGTTCCTGAGGCAGAAAACACGATCATGCATAACTCGCCCCTGACGTACCAGAAACAGGTACTGTAGTCCGTACACTATGGAGTTCACGGTGAGCACCGGCTTCCAGTCCTCTCGCAGAATGTTGAGGCAGACGTTGCCCTCCAGGTCAATGTTAGGATGGTAAACCTGCATCAAAGATTGGTCAGCGGAGTCCGTATGATTGGCCAGTGGCGTCCGTATGATTGGTCAGTGGAGTAGGTGTCTTACCAACGACGGCGTTATAGATGCAACAAATTTGGTACATTACATTCAAGTCGGCGATTAAAAAAAAAATGGGCGTGGCGCCCCATTCACACTTGATTATGTTATTCACCGCATGTACTTGACGCTCAGACTTTGTATTTCTGTAATTTGTTTCCACACATATGCGAGCCTGTTGACACCCCGTGGTCGCGATCACATCATTCCACACGTCAAGCTTCATATTTGCTGCGTCTCAGCTCATCTTTGGTGCAGCACAAACAAAATCACATCATCTTGTGGACCACAACGCCAGTAAGACTCGTGCAGCGTGGATCGCGGGATGTGGGTGTTGTCCTTTTGCTATCATATGGATTACACGAACAAGTGATTAATAAAGCCATATGCCTTTGACTACCGAAGACTAGGCTTCATCGATACGTTGGAAAGCCAACATTTCATGACATCCAACAGGTTGAGGTCCACTGATGCCCAAATCCGCGCGCTTATTGATAAGTCGCATTGCTTAACAAACGGTCGGTTGTGAGTCAGGGCAGATCTGGAATTTTTGCCGACGACCGATGCTTTGGCGGCGATCAATGGTTCTTGATATCATCATCACGCGTTGCGAAACACACACGCACGCACGCACAATTTTTCTTTTTGCCTAACTAAAAGATTTTCATCGAATCGAACAGGGTTACACGCCTGTCTCCTGTTCATTACTCTAGCTTAGTCGGATTAGGCAATACACCACAGCGACTTATGTTCCTGGTTGGTTCGATGAAGGTGGTAGGATATCCTCCGGCTTGGGCGTTCTCCGAATGATAACTGGCACACTTATGGCCCAGACAGCTTTAACATACTAATGTGTTATAGTCGCTGCTTTCGGCTACATTATGCAGTCCTCACGTCTTCATTTTCTGCTGTCTGGTACCGGCATCTGACAGAAATATTTAGAAACGCTCCTCGGCCGGCGGGTCCGTGGCTTGTGCACATCAGAGTGACTGTCTTCATACGCCAGCCCACACTGTTTCCAGTGGGGTGGTCCGCTCTCTTCCCCGGCAGAAGTTGTCCGCCTTGCGTAGCGGCGCCGATGGGTCGTCTAGATCTGGACCCGGTTTTGGTCAATGCCCTTCGCACTCTTCGCCATATGGGACGTTGGCCTTCCTAAAATAACCAACTCCTTTGTCTGAGGCACGAAATATTCCCGACGTTCTGACGATTTTCGCCCCCCCCCCCCCCCCCCTTCCTCCTACAGGAACCTACATGTATGCCCGACGGGAATGTCTCTCCCTCGGATTAGCCCCGGAAGGGTGCATAATGCCGTCGCAGTGTCCTGTTTCCACGCGCACGAGAAATTCAAGGTACCTATCACTTGAAGTACAAAATAGCACTGCAATGTTGCTTTTCGAAAGCATCCTCTCGATGCAGCGATGTCCGAACCATCCTGGGTGTCTCATTTTCGCGACATCACCTCTCCGCTCTGCCTGTGAACAGCGGCGCCCGGGACATTCCACTGAGTGTGATTTGTATGCTGACTGGTCTAGATACATTGCTGTTACCCTCCGACTGTCCATTTACACGTCAACTATCTCGCTGCTAATATTGTGCCCGCGTTCATCACTGCATTGATGTGTGATGTCCTAGGCATTAAGGCGTTGGTTCATGTTTAACGTGCAGCGTTTTCAATGTTCGAGTTTCCGGCCGGAGTTAATTCTATCCTACACTTTCACCATTTGCTCTCATTCTATCTCACAGTCCATGCCCCACGATGCCTTCTCATGTCATCCATGCCATCACGATTGGTACATTAATGGCAACCGAAAAGCATGGACGCAACAATACGATATATCGGTCATACACCGCTAAATGCGCCACGCATTTAAGCCGGCATCGTTATACGTGGATGCACCAACCGTTCCAATAAACAATGCGCTAGGCCGTGTCAGCATGAGGCCGGACGGTGCCATCGCTGCCAAGACATTGCGCTCGGCGGCGGATCGGCAGAGCGTGGCTGTGAAGCGCAGGCTGGAGCGCCAGCGCGCTGCCAGAAGAGGCCAACTGACCCAGTGGTCATGATACACGACACAACAGCGTGGCGACCAAGAGGAAATGTGACGCCATCTAAATCGGACTGGAGATATGTCAGCAGCGCGAGAGGCAGAGGCATCGGCTGAATCAAGACATGCATGTGTAAGCATGGTGCATTTAACAGGGACACAATGAAAATGCTGTTGTATGCAGCAAAGTGACTTAGACATATCATAATTGGTATAACTCATTTAAGATATTGCTTACCATTGTATCACATTTCACTTTCGGAGGCTCGTGGGGGTAGCTGGGGCCCACCTTGAAGCTGAACACGAAGCGGCCTCCCCTATAATAGCCCTGGAAATAGACGAATAGCAAAGGTGATCGGCGGCGCCAAGTGAAGCGAAACCATAGCTGGGCAGAACGCCAGCTCAGCAGCACATCATACCCAACACTGCCATAAAACCATAGCTGGGCAAAACGCTAGCTCAGCAGCACATCATACCCAACACTACCATAAAACCATAGCTGGGCAAAACGCCAGCTCAGCATACCCAACACTACCATAAAACCATAGCTGGGCAAAACGCCAGCTCAGCATACCCGACACTACCATAAAACAACCGCAATGGTCGTCAGCGTCACGCTGCCACATTCTTTGATGTTTGTCAAGCAGGCAATCCAGCCCAGCAAGGGTCATCAGTAACGAAATGCACAAGCTTCGAATCAGATGAGAAATCACCGGCCTAGGGTTCCGCCGAGCAACGAGGCAAGTCAAAGCAGGCATCTGTTGCTTGAACAATATCACGATGACAGCGCCGCCAGTGAGAAGAAAACCCAGCGCGGCAGGCGCACCAATCGCGGACAGCACAAGCCGACTACTAGCCGACCCGGCGCGAACAAGCTGCCCGCCGGGACGGCCAGCCAGCTCACCTCGTCAGGGCATATGATCAGCTTGAAGTTGAGCAGGTCGTCGGGGTCAGGAAACTCCGTCTGGCACGTCTTCGGAAGGTTTAGCTCATTGATATCTGAAACACAGGCCATCCCGTCGAGCGAACATTTCGGCAACCCGCGCACCCGGACCACGTGGCTGGTGCCGCAGAACCGAGCACCGGCCCGCCAGGATGCGGTCGGCAGAATAATGGCGGCCGCGTCAATGTGTGTTAACGCATTAATGTGCATCTGAAGACATTCCGAACACGCAGAGCTTGTTCAATGTCGACCAACCGAAAACGAAGCCACAAACATACTTTTTGGATCTTAGTCCTTCTTGATGAACTCTGGATATAACTGTCTTTTTGAGTCACCACATTTCCAACGTTGCGCGTATTGCATTATTCCCTAACTTTACCATCTTCATCACGCGCTTGCCAGCAGATCTGTGGGGCTCCTGACTGCGGTTGATATTTTGCCATCAACTTTACTCTGGCAGTGTCATGTGCGGCTAGGTCATACCTAGGCAGGTGAAAGAAGGCACTAATTTTCGCCCATGTCGTCGCGAATGGCTGCGACGCCAGGACCAAATCCTCTCAGCGTTAAGCCCTCTTGGCTGGCCAAAGACTGAAGACTTTTTGTCCACCTGCGGTGTTCAAGAAGCGTTCAAGTTTTCGTGCGGTCCCACAAAATAGCGAGCTAGCTAACCATTGTCTTATGGTCAGGACGACGGATCGCCTCGGACGACGGGGCAGATGTGTTGTGGGCGGGGCAGATGTGTTGCGGTCAAATTTCTCATGCTGCTCGCTTGCATGCTGGCAAGCTGTTTTTCGGTCCTTGAAAGGTACCAGAGAAATTGGACCCAATGTCTTCCGGAGCCTTACTCTCACGTAGGCTAACACACACTTCTCCCATCAGAATGACATGTTTAATACGGCTAAAAGACACAAATGGGCCAGCTTCATGCGGCGTTTATCCGGCTCCGGTTCAGTTCGCTATCAGTGGGAGTGACACTTGTTTACACTGATATCCTATTACGATGAGTGCGTTACAAAACACGATGTTGGAATAAACGATGCTTGCACAAGGATGCTTGAAAGCGCACTTGGATACTGCGCTCTCGTATCGTGCACGAGGTCACAAATACAACCGAACAGCGAACACAAAGTGCTATCCTGAAACGGCTGTCGCATCGAACACGTCTGCCCTGCGTAATGCAGTCTCCGTCTTCAAATGAGGCCGAGCGTTCCCAGATCGCGTGTCCTGGTAGGCATACTCACAGTCCTTACTCATACTATGACATACTTGAAATTCACGATACCTACAGCAAGATCCGTGACCATTGAGAAGATATATGTGAAAGGCAATAGACTAGCTCGCTGTTGAATATGTTTATAATCAAACAAATGTTAACAATAAGAGCAGGCTTCAGGTAGGAGTAAAGCAAACTACCTGGCAATGTGCACGCAATTCTGGATCTGCCCCCAGCGGCACACCAAAAAACTGTGTTGTTGTTTTTTGTCACTTGCACTGTGACTGTGGGGCATCCATGGCTCGACCAGTGACCTGCACAGCGGGACACTGACTGTAAAGCCACAATTGAATTTCGCATTCATTCACAATTGTCTGAGGTGTCATATGCGCCTCACTTTGCTAGTGGAGCACAATACCATTTTGAGCCAAATAGTTCAGTGTGTAAGTTTTTCAATCTTTTAGGAACATGTTCAAGTATGTCCTTAGATTCTAAATGCATGTCCATTTTACCAAATTTTGAGCAAATGATTTTGTCTCACTCGAATTTCAGTGAATTATGATTGGGACCAGGATATATGCAGAGGCCCAGCCCAATATTTCTGGGGCCCTGGCCAACAGTGTGGGGCCCCTGGTGGGGGCCCAGCCCAACATTGGGGGGCCCAGACCAACATTTAAGGGGCCATCCCCCTCCCAAAGAAACATGAAGACCCCTGGTCCTGCAGTTTCTCTAGAGTACATGTTTGAAAGTGCCCCAAAGGTAAGGTATTCCCTTTAATTTTAATTTTCAAACTAAACCAAAGGCAGCCCATTTAAAATGTCAGAGCTGAAACTTAAGCCAGCCATTTACAAATGGGGCAAAGCTGAGGCCAACAAGACACCTCATAGTCAAAGCCAAACCTGGAGTCACTAAAGGAAAAATGCAGCCCTGCAAAGCTGAAGCCAAAGATAGTTTCATTGTCAGGCCTGCCCATGGCATGTCATAGCATCACATGGCACATACACTCATGCTTGTTCTTTACTTGGTCCATCATCAGCTAAGCTAAAATTATCCTCAGGACATGAAATTCCATGCCTTTTGGTGGTCGGCATGGATGAATGGAACAACCATGTGCTTTTGTGAAATAAATGTAGCACTTGCAATGAACACAAGCACCCATGTTAAGTGCAATCCACTGGTAACATTCAACTTTATGGGTTGGATTAATGTGGTTGACATATCATGATGATGGGATGGATGGGATGGATGCAACAATGGGCACAGATCTGTTTGTAGTGAGGACAATTGGTCAACCTGCCACAAATTGACTGGCTGAATCATGGGAAGATGACTACATCTCTTCCAGAATGATGAAATTTTTTTTCATCACGCATGTAGACTTTGACCAGGGGTTATAATGCCAAATTTTCAGGTTGCATGCTGATAAACATAAGCACATTTTCAAAAAAATATACAGACATGAGTGTTCAGTTTTTGTAAGACATACCCAAATACAGCTGACAATTTTGATGGCTACATCATACTGAGCAGAGACAGACCCACACTCACATGTCCTTAAGTTTAAGAGGAGCTGTAATATCATTGCTTTGGAGGCCTACCTTGAGTTCATACAAGCTAAATATTGCAGTACACATTGCTCACACTTGCCAGCCACAAGATGTACACCACCATGCATATATGCATCATCTGTATACCTACAGAGGGTACAGTTGCATAAATGTGCCTGCAGCCTAGAAAAGATCTCAGGGTCTAATCAAAAGATCCCATGAATATAGAGTCCTATGGGATCCTGGAGCTATCCTTAGAATCCAGACACATGCTCAATACAATGGCATTGCATCTTGTGAGTTTGTGTCAAAATCATTGTCATGTGTTTCTTTTTATGGAGGGGATGACCTTGAAGTGCAGGCACAAAGCACACTAAACAAGTACAGCTAGCTGTGCACTCTGTTGCAATAGAAAGGTCTGGCCAAATTCAAACAAAAAATACAACTATTTTCAACAAACAGCAATGCCAACATAAAGTGAGAATGAAATTTACCTGATGATAAGTTGAAAGGCAAAGCAGCCCATGGCAAAAATTATTCCCGCCCTACTTGGAGCACATTCTAGGTTGCCCAATGCATGATGTTAACATCTCTGCCATGGTTTATAACAAGGCCCATAGCATGATATAATGCATAGAAATGTAATATGAGCAGATCCTTGCATTCTCATTAGCTCATGGCTTTCAGGGCATTTCACCTGAACATAGGCATCCAGATAGTGTCACATTTATAATGCTAAATAATGTAAGCATAAATTATCTATTTTCTGATCACAAAGGTGAAAGGTAGTTAACAGTTAGGTAAAAAAATCATATCATAACAGTTGTTATGAAATTACTTAATGCATAAATATTTAAAAAATGCTGCTAAATAATGTAAACATAAATTATTTATTTTCTGATCACAAAGGTGAAAGGTAGTTAACAGTTAGGTAAAACAATCATATCACAACAGTTGTTATGAAATTACTTAATGCATAAATATTTAAAAAAATGTTAAGTTCATGCTAATTTTGTGGTCTTTACTATGATATTGAACAGCAAAAGTCTCAGGGAAAAATAGTTGAAACCTATTTAGGGTTGTTCCATTACAATCTGAGATCTTGTCATGGCTTAGTCATGCACAATGGGTCATGCAAATTGCGAATGAAGATCAGTTACTGTCTTTTGATTTTCTACTTGCATTGTTTCACCCTAAGTAGCAATGAACATCCAAAAGTGAGTCAATGATAAGGATAACAAATTATGGCAAATATGCAATCAAAATGTTTGGGACAGACAGAATCCTGCCAAAACACAATTGAGCTGGCTTATTTTTGGAGCTTATGACATTACTTGCCTGAAAACATAATCAATCATCAGATCTGGTCATTTTATAGTCCCACAAACTTTAATCTCATGTAGCTCCTCACAATACTTTTAATATCCAATTACACCACTTCTGCAAAGCTGTCTCAGCTTGGAAGTTGTGCCCCACCTCTGCCCCAAGATCTCATCCAAATCTACCAACATTTGCAAAATGATCAATAGCTGAAAGGTTTCCAGACTCAGTATCCTGGTTTCATACATTATCACAAGAAAGCAGAATGACAGCTCATTAACTGCAAAACTGCCACAAGCCACCCTGACCCATCCACCCACACACTGGGCCTAGCCCAAGTCCTTTATGTATCAATTATTATGGGGAAACCTTCAACCACAATACAGGATCTCAAATGAAAACAGGAATGTCTCACACAGCGAGATGTGCACATCACGATGCCAACCTTTTGTTACTCTGAGCTGAGCAGCCGACAGCCTTTTCGAGCTTGAGGGGGACTGTCCTGTTTCGTCTCTCTTCTGTTGCTTTAGAGAAAACAACTTAATCATGTTGATAGCCGAATTATAAAGGCAGCTTGCAATAACACCAAGGAACGAAAAGCTCGGCTTTAATTTTAAGGATGTTTGCCAGCTCGGGCCGTTACCCCCACCTCCCTTTCCAGCTCCACCGTCCTCAACCCCTCCACGAAACCACGCTTTACAAAACGCACTGCATAAATGGGGCTGTGCTTCGAGCAATGCATCAAGCCTTCCATAAAGAAACAGGTGTGCTGTGATTTTTGCACGATCAGCTGAGTCCTCAAGCTCAATCGGCTGCTGGGGCATTTTCGCGTTCTCAATGGGTCGTTTATAGACTTAAACTACTGCTTTAATATTTTTATCATTAATTTTCCGTTGCTCATAAATCACTTAATTTTTCAAGAAATAAGGAAGTATTGTATTACCTGCAATTGTATTTCTGAAAAAACTTTCCATTTAGAACCCCAATCATCTGACTCAGGATGCGACATTTAACTTGAGCGTCCTATTAACTGGTCACCAAACATAAACTAAAATAACCAAAACGAGCCTACCTACCAAATTGGATGCATTAGCACCAACATGAACATTTCATCACCGATTCGATTATTGCCACCAATATGGGCGTTTTTACCACCGGTTTAACGAAATCGTTAACCGCAATCTATACTTAAGCCAAACTGACATCAACCTGTAAATGTTTTGGGACGCAGATGGCTATCTACAATGGAGTCGCGTTCTAAGAGCGAATCGCTGCCTACCATGGAGTGTCGATACATACCTCAGCATCGGAGACCTCTTTTTCTCGCAAGGCCCTGAGTGATCTTCGGGATCCTCGGCGCAGACTATAAAAGCCCGGTTGGATGGCTCACAGGACTGGTCGGCTGACGCCCTCGAGGCGAAGGCCTGACCCTCAAAGGTCAGTCAACAGGACTCGCTGCGTCTGTCGGGAATCCCCGGGACGACGGACGCGTCCATGTAGGTCCGAAACCACCAATGCTGAGCAGTTGGCTCTGTGTCAGCTTGGACCCTGTGAGCCGTTTATGAAGCAGGGACAAGGCCGGTGTCCGCGTTTGTTACTGAAGGCCTTCTGCGTTGGCCGGGCCCCCGAAACAAGGTGGCTCCCTACATCAAGGCACAGATTGCTTAACAGGGGAGCATGCGCCGGCAAGGGGCTCCTGGTCGACCAGAGTCAGATTTAACTGAAGACGAACAAGACGGGACCCTGAATGTCAGAGAGCCGCTTGCGCTGGTAAAAGTCCTCTTGCCTGAAATGGAATGGTAATAAGAGAAATGGAAATCCATCAATGACAATGGCAATGACAGGATTTTGAGATCAGAACTCACGCAAAGCATGACTGGTGTGTGTGCTCTAAGATTCGAACCTCCTGTTGTGATTCAAATTCAACGACAGAACTTTATGAAAAAAGGCTGCACGCATAGTGACGCTTGGCACGGTTCCTTTGCCCTTCGACCTCCCTGACGTTGAACAGCCGCTGCTACCAGCCGCAACCCATCCAAGTCAGAAGTCAAATATTCAGCGCATATAGACGCAGACAAGATCGAGAATGCAGATTTCCACCGCACCTCACCACCACCCCTTCGTAGTGAGTTCTCACTGGCATGCTCCCCTTCCCCGGTTGATTATCCTGGATGTGCCCTTGCGAGCGCGTGTATAGCGACTTGAACCCCATACGCCCACGGGTGGGTGGGGATCGTCAGGAGCCGACACCAGATATTTGAGCTACGGAGCATCAAGTTCAAGTTTGATCCCGACGGTGAGGAAGCCGGAATACTGCCATAGATGGGAACAAACCAAGTCGGCGAGAGCTTAAGCTTTCTTCGCAGAAAGTGAACTAGAACAAGAGCATTATGAGGTTGCATGTGTTCCTGCCCTCATCCCCGAGGACTCGTTCCAGACTTAGATGAACATATTCCAGAGTATGTTTTAAGACGAGTCCGGCACCAAAGAAGTGTCATAAATGCCAGTATCTTGATATATATATATATATATATATATATATATATATATATATATATATATATATATTTCGGTGCGTTTGCACAATAAAAGTTTTGGGTTTTTTATTCGGCAATTCGGGTGGCAATGGGCGCCAAACAGACGCAGCCGTTACACGATTTAGGGGAAAGGAACAGGCAAGCCGTTACTCGACCTGGATGATCGAAAATCAGAAAAGGGGTAAACAGATCGTCAAGTAAGCTGGATCGTTAGTAATCCAAACAATGCACCGGCAAACTGAATCGCTACACAATTTAGATACTGAAAGATTCTGAACTCGGATGACAAGCAGCAAAATTGAGAGTTTTGGCCGAACTGAAAGCAGAGTACAAGCCAGGCTCCCTGACAGAGCCCGGGCGGCTTGTCTTGCGAAACGTCTCGTCTTGGGCTCGCCTTCAGAGAGCCCAAGTACTTACAGTACATGGCGCGGAGAACGGCACGTGGCAGAGAACCAGAATTTTTGTACAAGCCACAATTGCCACCCTTTCGAAACAGGTCGCTGCATAAACCAGTGCCCGGCCCGAGATTGCCACAGGGCGTTAGACGGCGCATTCCGCACCGCTTCGTGGCTGGCTGTACATATCTGAACGGAGAGGCTGATTTTGTTTTTGATGGATGCGCTTTTTGGCATGCGTGATTCGAAGAATGTCGTTCCTTGCATACTATCGAGAGCATTTAAAGATGCCAAGCGTTTCATTACCCGTAGCACACAACACTTTCACATACTGAACAAGATGAGTAACTGGCTGATTGAATGTTAGTTGGACATATAAACAATAAGCTCCCGCCAAAATTAAGCTCCCATTGTGTAGATATAAAGTACCCGCTACACACCCGCGAAATGTCACGTCATCGAAAACGCCATGTCGCGTTGAGATGATCAGGGCGCAAACAAACAGGCACCGTCGCGGCGTGCACCTGCTGACAAGCTGCAGCTGACCGACGGAACCAACGCAGCCAGGCCACGTCGCCGTTACTCGCAGCAGAGTATCGCGCAATGCTCTCGGAGGCAGACGGGCCGAAGCATAAGCCGGCCCGGTCCGCGCAGCCCATGAGCCCGATGGTCCCCCATCAGCCGAGATCTGGTCTGAGTCAGCGGCCGGCCTGGCCTCGTCGCTCCGATGGCGGAGCTGGGCCACACCGGTCGCCCAGCCGTGCTGACCACATGGGGTCAGCAGCGCTCGGCGGCCGGCGGTGGCGCCCCCTGCGCTACGGCTCCGGCTCGGGCAGCGGACGCCTCTCAACCGGCGTCCCGCCGCCGTGGCGGTCGTCCCGGACGGCGCGCGGGCGCGGCGCCGGCGCCGTGCCGTCGCTCTCGTCCTTGACGGTGGCGCTGAGCGGAGTGGCGACGCGCCGAATGCGGCCTCCGACTGGCTCGCAGGGCACCATGTGCACCGACGGCAGGTAGCGCACCACCTTCTCCACCTGGCGCGGCGAAGCGTGGAACCAGTAGAGACGCAGTGGTCCCGCGCGCCCACCTGGAGCGCCATGGGGTCCACCGACTGGTCGATGAAGAAGTTGAGTGTGGAGAGTCTGACGATATGCAGCCCTTGCCGACCTTGTGCAGGCAGGAGGGGTGGGGCGGGCACGAGTGCACGCGTGTCTCGTCTGGGTGCAGCGTCAGGCACGCCACAATTTCCGGCGGACGCTCGTACAGCACTAACTGATTCGGGTCCACGTGCACCGGCTAGCCGGTGGCCTCGCGCAGGCGACGGAACACGTGCTCGCAGCCGTAGCGCGTGCGGCAGCCAAGATTGGCGCGGTGGCGCGGGTCGTGCGCTAGCCACTCGTGCACCAGTCGCACCACTGACGGCGAATCGCTGAAGGTCGGGCAGATCGTGACGATCCGGCATGCGGAAGGTCGTGTTGGCGCGCAGCAGGTCGACCTGCCTCGGTCGGCCGGCGGCTCCGGGTGTGATGGGGGTCTGACTGGGTCCTTTTTTCGGATGGCGTAGGCCAATGACCTGTTTCGGGCAGCAAACGCTGACCGGAGTGTCCTCGCCACCCTGGCCTCCGCCCAAGCCTGGTGTTTGGCCCTTCTCTGTCAGCGGCGTTTTGATAGAGCTGAGGCGGATTCTTTCGCACTGATCGATACTAATGTCTCCGTCTGTAACCTGCGGCCAACCTTACGAAATCGTGATATTCATGACGGAACATAAACAAGATTCCCACATATGTCCAGCTAAAAATTACGGTTTTATCATTCCTATCTTGTTGGGAGAACGGACAGACTAATCATGCACGAAATCATGATATTCATAACCGAGCATGGACAAATTTCTTAAGTATGTTAAAAAAATTAGGGTTTTACAATTCCTATCTGTGTTGGGAGAACGAACTGGTTTGTGATAGAAGGGTGACAAGCTGTTGCTCTAATGATTACGATTTTAGTCATTGTGAAGACTGGTTCATGCTCTTCCACTTGTATTCGGAGGCTTTAGCCCTGATGGCTGATCGGTTTACTTTTCACATATTTTAACTAGCACCATTAGTGATGGTTAAGCCTTCTGGGGAAAACTACCCGTTTGAGCTTGTTGGTTCAGTTGGTGATCAGGGTGCGTATTTTGGTAATGGGAGTAGCCATTCTGGCTGGACAATTAATTTTGTCCCTTTAACGCGACGCACTGGGTTTGATCTTTACGCGCCACCGCCTCACCTGCGTCGCTCTGGCAGCATTTATTTGTGTACCCAACTACGCATTGTTTTGGTGTGACTGTTGCGGTATGTGTGGATTTCCATAATTTTCTCAGACAATAAGGATATAACGTTGGAGGCTCATGTTTTGTTTGGACACTGCTACACGTAAAGGTACTCCTTGTTGCGCGGTATAACCGAATTATACAGAACACCCCAGCGTCGGTGCAACAGTGCTGCATCAGTTTAAGATATTGTGTCCGTCAAGACCCTGGCGAAATTGGGTGACGAAAGGTGAGATTAAACGACTGCTTATTAGCTGTTCATGTATTTTGACATTACTTAAGCATAATGATTATGACATTGTAGAAGTGCGTTAAATAGTGCAAGCTTGAATGTTCATGTGCGTGTTGAAAGCATATGGGATGTGGATGTGTACATACAAGTTAATTATGAACTTCCTAAGCTATAGTAAAACTTTCTGCAAGTGATGAGACATGGTCAGATTAACCAAGCAGCATCAGGTGACAGCTCACTAGTTTTTGCACTGTACACTGTGCACTGTTTGTGTGCACTGTTTGTGCACTTCTGACAGCTATCTAGTTTGTGTTCAGTGCATTGTAGCTAGCTAGCCCTCTAGGATTTTCAGGCTTCTATTTTAAATTCCCAGTTTTGAAATCTATATGTATCATCAACATGTCACATCATTCACAGTCATTGCACATCACTTGCTTAATGCCATGTGCAGAATATTTGGTCAGGGTGTACTTTCCTACCTAATGTTAGAAAAAAACATTGTACACCATTTGTCGTGTTTAAGGCAGGACATATCGTAAATAATCACAAAACAGGTGGATTCATGCTCTTGCCTTCAAATTTTTTTTATAATTATGATGGCGAGCTCCCGAGTGCCGCACACATGCACAGCACCTGCGACACCAGCGGGGTCACAACATTACTGCCAGCATTAAGAACCATAAAAATGTAAAGGGGTGGAGGTAGCAAGAATCCATGAAATTTGATCCCCCTTCAGCACTTATATAGCCTCTGCAGTGACTGTTGCTCCATGAGGGATGCAAACAGTATGTATGATGGAAGTGAACAATGCCGTACCCATTTCTAGGTTACATGGCAGAGCCAAAAGGTTCCTTGGGCATTTCTGAGGTGCCTGCATAGGCCTGTGTTTGAAGTGGTTTGCATTGCTCTGGCTGAGTTGTAGGATTGGTTTCCATTCATTTTTTACAGGTACTTCCAGCATGGACAATGTCTTCATTCCATTCTCAGCACCAGGTCTTCCTCAAGGGTCAAAACTTTCAACATACTTAACAGTAAGTTAACTGGCAGCTTCAAATACCCCAAAACAGTTTCTCCACTTCATTCTCAGCACCAGGCCCTTAAGGGTCAAAACCTTAATGGATTTTGACAGTATGTCAGCTGATGATGGTTGGTGATATTTATGGGAAGTATTTTCTAGGTACTAGAGCTGTTATTAAAACAGGGTTTCATTGTGGTGTAGGGGCATGGTGATGAGACATGAATTATATTCCCATTTGATTCCATCACTGAACAGGCTCTGAATGTATCTGTTATGACACTCAGTTTCTTTTCATATCAGGCTGCCAAGCATTTAACGGTGTCTATGTCAGCACCAACGACTTAACTGCACCTTGGTACCAAGCTGCCCCTGATGGCATATGACTGTGACCCCAGTGCCGGGCCGACGCTGACCGGCCTCCGCGCCAGCAGAGTCGCGTCTCGGAGCCAGCAGAGGTGAGCAGCGTTATGGCCGGGCTCAGCCTGGCCTCCGGCTCTTCACCGGCGGGCAAGGCGGGCGGGGCGCGCGCGCTGGCGGCGCGCGCCTTCACGCCCGAAGCCGTCGCCAATGGCTCACCGCCGGACGCCGCCGGCGCCACTCTGGACGAGTCCTCGTCCGACCCCACGCCGCTGTTTGAGGTCAGAGACTCGGGCAGCGTCACTGCTGTGCGGTCTGAACCCCACACTGGAGCCAGGCTCGGTGACGAGCGTCAATAGACGCGCATTTCCATCTGTATTGAAGTGTGTGATATGTGGTCCGCTGCTTGGCAATGACATCTGTTCGTAATGCACATGCCCATGTGTTTGGCCAGGCCACACTGTCCGAGATCGCCGTGGCAGTCATCTGGTCGAGTGCCGTGTGGCAGCCGCGTTGACGCGCGCCACCTGCAGGAGAACGTGGGCGGTACGACCTACTACTTCACGGCTGAGGACGCGGCCGCCCAGAAGTCGGCCGAGCCGCCGACGGTGACGCCGCCGTACACGGCATACGTGGCCACGCCGCCGCGCGTCGCCGACGCCAAGAGCGCCGCAGCCGCCGCCACCCACCCGGCCAGCTTCTTCGTCAGCGACGAGCTGCGCGAGCTGATCCTGCGCCAGCAGAACCTGCTGCTCATGCACCCCAACCCGCAAGCGTACCCGGGTCAGTGGCGCGCCGCCGGTGGCCCGCTCACCGCTGCTTAGCGTCGAGGGAAGGAGCGTGTCACGTCATCTAGGTGTAACCAGGCGCTGTGGTGGCCATCCACATGCTGCGATTGATTCGGTTACTCAGCTTGTCAGTTTTAGACCAGTGGATGTAGCTGGAATGTTTTGTCAGTTTTAAACCAGTAGCCATAGTTGGCATGTTTTACGCTGCAGTCTGTGGCTGCCACACATTGTGTTACTGCGTTACCTGGCAGGTGTGTGATATGATTGATATTGTTTTAACGTATCCGAGCGTCATATGGTGCCGTCGTACTTCTGCCAATAGACACTTCATTTTCCTTTTTTTTTATCTAGTAAATATTAATCGTCGTGCCTATTTCATTTGCCTGTTTTACGTAGCAAAGCAACTTGTCTGCCAATTTGTACATGAAAGTGCAGATCTTGGCAATAACATTCGGGAATCACGTGGGTCAAATGGAGCCTCATTTGCATTATTGACGCTTGCAAATTAACGTCAAATAGCGAAGCTGTGTGGCTATTCAGCTGACGCCCTACGTCTGCGCGATGTCCAGATCTGCCGAACGAGGTGGACAACTATCACGAGCTGTGTCCCCTGGAGGCTCCTGGCCAGCCCCACAAGTCCACTGCGTTCGGCTACATCACCACCTGTTACAAGGCCACCAACATGAAGAGCGGACAGTGCTACTGCCTGCGACGGATACATGGTAGTGTGCCAGTTTCACGGCCTGGTTCCCTTCAAATACCTATTCGTATTACTTTACCTTGTCACTACACCCACCCAGTTACTTTTGGATGAACCTCATACTCTTGTGGGACTAAGTTTTGGCTACCAGATTATGACTAGAAAGCATTAATTTCGTGGCCCGCAAAAACGAGCTGTCACTCACGGACGGAACCTTGTGAATGAACTGTGTCCGCTATGACCCGTGAGCTTATCCACCCTGCCGTGATGATGCGGGGCTGCGCCGGCGATCCTCGCCGCGTCTGCCACCGTACATAATGACATTATGTTGCATCTGTAATAGCGTGAACTGGGGGTGTATGCTGCTGTGAATAATGACATTATGTTTCACTGGTAATGGCTGAAATTCACGCATCCATGCCCACATGTGCATATAGCATAGATGTGTGCATGTGACGAATGTGCGGCAGCGTTGGCACATGGCTGACGTGTGCCTGCTGTAGGGCTGCGGCTGGCCGGCACCAAGTGTCTGCAGCTGGTCGCGCTCTGGAGCAAATTACAACATGCTGGTCTGGTCACATTGCGTGAGCTCTTCACCACCAAGAGCTTCGGCGACAATTGTGAGTTGACTCGCCCTTTGGTGAAATGTGATCTGTTTTGCTGACAGAGCTCTTTATATGTGTTGGCAAATTCATGACCTGGGCTCGTTGCTTGGTTACAAATGGATGTGTGTGGTAAATGCGTCTGGTGTGGTTTGTCTCAATCAGCTGTTGAAGAGGATGTAGTTACCACTATGCAATCAAAAACACACAATGCTGGACGTGAAGTGAATGGGGTGCGGGAACCGAACAGAGCTGTGTGAGTTGGTAGGGGGTCGGGGACACGGTCCTCTCCACAGCCATGTGGGAATGAGCAGCTCCTTGACGGCAACTGAGAGTTATTAACGCTCATTGGTGTGAGTTTCAGATGCACCAATATTGGTGCAAGATGTATTGGTATTGGCGTTGGAAGTGCAATTGTCAGTGCCATATGTGCCTCTGTGGATACCAGATGTACCACTGTTGGTGTGAGATGCGCCAGTGTTGGTATCAGATGTGGTAGTGTCGACACCAGATGTGTCAGTGTGGGTACTAAATGTCCCAGTGTCAGTACCAGATGTACCAGTGTCTGTACCAGATGTGCCAGTGATGGTACCAGATATGCCAATGTCAGCACCAGATGTGCCAGATTCAGTACTGGATGTGCCAGTGTCGGTGCCAGATGTGCCAGTGTTGGTACCTTATGTGCTGGTGTTGTAATCAGATGTGCCAGTGTTGGTACTAGATATACCAGTGTTGGTACCAGATGTGCCAGTGTTGGTTCCGGGTGCGCCAGTGTCGGTGCGGTATGTGCCATTGTCAGCACCATATGCACCAGTGTCTGTACCAGATTTGCCAGTGAGGCCAGCGCCAACGCTGACACCAGCCCGCCTTCCCGAATTCCCGGCAGCCGTGGTAATGGTGTACGACTTCCTGCCGAGCGCCGAGACATTGATGGCGCGCCACTTCAGCCAGCCGCCGCAGCTGAACGGGTTCCTGGACCCGTTCCAGGACCCGAGCATACCGCGGCCGTACAGTGCCCAGAAGAACGCCGTCCTCCGCCAACAGAGCTGTGCGTGGTCCTGGCTTTTCCGTGTGTCCACTGGCTCAGAATCGCTTACCGCGGCAATAGATACACCGAGCTCCGGTGAACGCGCGGGGTGAATATGGAAAGTTGGCGCTATTCAGTTGATGAAAAGAGCAATATTCGTGGGCGGAACGGGGTCATATGGCTCGCTACACAAAGCCTTTGAGCTTTGTTCCTCTCATTGTCGAGCGGCTCAATGTTCAACTGAATTTGTGAAGCCGATGACCTCTGGCAGTGTGGGCATATGGCACATAGCTGGTCAGAAACCGTGTCTGAGCGACTGCGCCGTTGTGTGTGACGCGCGGCGCTAGCTCCGCCGGCGGCGCGCGCGCGCGCCTGGATGGCCGGCGGGCGCTGGCACTGGTGCCGCGCTTCATCAGCTGAGCGGCCCCCCTGTCGGCACCGACAGCGCTGATGCCCGAGTCGCTGATCTGGAGCTACGTCATCCAGCTGACGGGCGCGCTGCGGCTGGTGCACGGCAGCGGGCTGGCCTGTCGCGTGCTCGACCCCACCAAGGTCCTCGTCACCGGTGAGTGCCGGCCCGGCGGCGCGCCGCGTCACCGCCGGCGGACGCGCGTCGACACTCCGACCTGGATCGGCGTGTCGGCGTGTGCTGCTGTCATGGTGCCGGGACGAATGCCGTCGGCCGGGGTCTTCTCTCGGGAAAGGGATTGCAGAGCTTGTGGTGTGTTAGTGACGTATCAGGGTAGGTCTCAATTCATAGGGAGATTTTTGCCATGTTCGTGGAGTCCAAGGTATTGTTTTTGCCGATGTATCGCTCTTTGCTGCATATTTTCAAAGCGGTTGTGCTTCTTCTGGCTCACACGGTATATTCGTATTTGTCTGCCGTCCCCGTGCGATGCAATATCTTGGCGATGTTTTAGCTCCATCACGAAAGCCATGAAAGCCCGGCGTCATCACCATGCACCAGCGTTACTGTAGCCCTCGAGCACATGTGCACAGCGCAATAAGAAGGCGGTGCTGCAAAACTGTCAATGCTTCCAAACACCGAATATATCGCGCCGGGTTGTATTGTGTGCGTTTGCTCAGGTGGAATGCTATGTTGGCAGGTCAGGATCGTGTGCACGTGAATTGTTGCGGCGTACTGGACGTGCTCATGTTCGACAACAATGCGTCCAACCCGCTGGCAATGGTGCCTCACTACCAGGTGAGTGGCGAGCCGTTCTTGTGTGCTCATTGTGTACTCTACCCGAAAGTCGCGTGTGGAATTAGAACTACTGGATATATGCGTGCGTGGGAAAGGTTTTGAAAAATCTGTTGAGGAATGGGGGACTAATCGACGTGGTTACTGGTGTCATTAGAGTTGGAAACTGCATTTTGGCGATGATGCCCGTTGTCATTTATGCAACCTGTCGAACTGTGCTCCTGTTTTCCTCTGGAGCTGGTGTTTTGAGTGTATTCTGTTGTGGCGTGGTGACGGTATTGCAGTGAATATTTATCGGTCTAGGAACAGCTGTTTTGACGTGATCCCCAAACATCAGAGCTGACGTCCGTTCCGCACTCGCAGCAGGAGGATCTGGTGGGCCTGGGGAAGCTGCTGCTGGCGCTCTCCTGCAACTCTGTGCTGGCCGTGCAGCGGGAGAACTTCAACACCAGCATCAGCATAGTCGAGCGTCACTACTCGGCCGACCTCAAGGCACTCATCATGAGGTCGGACGACGCCGAGACGCTGCAGGGCGCCGACTGCTGCCGTATTAGCCGTCTTTGATACCCTCCCCTGCCGGGGTATCCGTCCACTGTCGCTCGCGTGCTGTGTTGGCTGTCGTCCGTAACGGTCCTTGCCCTCGATCCCCCGCCCTCGGTGCCCGCCCTCGGTCCCCCGCCCTCGGTGCCCGCCTTCGGTTCCCGCCCTCGATCCCCCGCCCTCGGTGCCCGCCCTCGGTCCCCCGCCCTCGGTGCCCGCCTTCGGTCCCCGCCCTCGATCCCCCGCCCTCGGTCTCCGCCCTCGATCCCCCGCCCTCGTTGCCCGCCCTGGGTGCCCGCCCTCGGTCCCCCGCCCTCGGTCCCCCGCCCTCGGTCCCCGCCCTCGATCCCCCGCCCTCGGTCCCCCGCCCTCGGTCCCCGCCCTCGATCCCCCGCCCTCGGTCCCCCGCCCTGGGTGCCCGCCCTCGGTCCCTCGCCGTCGGCCGGCGGCCGGCGCTGTGACAGTGGCCTGTTGCTGTGTCTCCAGCTCTTACTGCTGCTCTATGAGCCGTCTGGTACCTACTGCTGTTCATCCGGTGCAACCTCCTGCCATGTGTCTGCCATCTGCTGCAGTGCGCTCTCGTCTCTGTTGTGACGGTATCCTCTATATCCGCCTTCCGGTACTGGCAGCCCGCTGGCATGTCTGCCGTGCATCAGCGTCCGTGTCTCCTCCGCCGACAGTCTGCTGATGTCGCCGTCGTCTGTCCCTGCTGTCGTGTCTGCTGTTGTCACCATCGGCTGTCCCTGCTGGCGTGTCTGCCGTGCATCAGCGTCCGTGTCTCCTCCGCCGACAGTCTTCTGCTGTCACCATCGGCTGTCCCTGCTGTCGTGTCTGCCGTGCATCAGTGTCCGTGTCTCCTCCGCCGACAGTCTTCTGCTGTCACCGTCGGCTGTCCCTGCTGTCGTGTCTGCCGTGCATCAGTGTCCGTGTCTCCTCCGCCGACAGTCTGCTGCTGTCACCATCGGCTGTCCCTGCTGTCGTGTCTGCCGTGCATCAGTGTCCGTGTCTCCTCCGCCGACAGTCTGCTGCTGTCACCATCGGCTGTCCCTGCTGTCGTGTCTGCCGTGCATCAGTGTCCGTGTCTCCTCCGCCGACAGTCTGCTGCTGTCACCATCGGCTGTCCCTGCTGTCGTGTCTGCCGTGCATCAGTGTCCGTGTCTCCTCCGCCGACAGTCTGCTGCTGTCACCATCGGCTGTCCCTGCTGGCGTGTCTGCCGTGTACCAGCGTCGGTGTCTCCTCCGCCGACAGTCTGCTGTTGTCACCATCGTCTGTCCCTGCTGGCGTGTCTGCCGTGCATCAGCGTCCGTGTATTCTCCGCCGACAGTCTGCTGCTGTCGCCGTCGGCGGGCCGCCAGCGCAGCATCGAGGACGTGATGCCGATGATTGGCGCCCGGTTCTACACGCAGCTGGACTCGGCCCACTTGCTGGCGGAGCGGCTTGAGGACGAGCTGGCCAAGGAGGTGCAGAACGGCCGCCTCTTCCGGCTGCTGGCCAAGCTGTCCGCCATCACCGAGCGGCCCGAGTGAGTACTACGTGCCCGTGGAAGGAGACTGCTGTGCCAGAAGTAGGAAATTCGTTTGTAGAATCCTGGACCTGTTGACCTGCGCAGAGTTTGGCCATGACACTGGTGATGGGGTGTCGCTTCGCCATGGAATAAGCTGAGGAGATGCCAACGCTGTGTTCTCCGGCGCGCTGTACTGATGCAGTATCTAGAGTCTTATCACGAGAGTGCTCGCGACAGTGGGAATCCTCGGGAATGCCCGCGAAAATCGTGCTGTAATGGCAAGACCTTCTTTCCACGCCACTATCCACTCACTCTGGATGTGGTTTTCTCTCTGAATAAACGGAGCTGACACCTGACCACGTGTATCCTCACACTGAACGTCGACTGTCACGGGACCACTGTCCGCCTGGGAGCCCGTCCCCCGGACCTGGACCTGGGTGTCGCTGACGCCTGCCGCCGCCTACGACCCCAGGCTGAACCTGGAGGGCGCCTGGGCGGAGACGGGCGACCGCTACATGCTGAAGCTGTTCCGGGACTACGTGTTCCACGCGGTGACGGACGACGGCCGCCCGTTCATGGACATGGCTCATGTGGTCCAGTGTCTGAACAAGCTGGACGCTGGCTCCTCTGACAAGGTTGGTCGGCTCGGGACTGGAGTTGCGAGTGGTGCCGTGTCGTCGGGAGAGCTCAGGCGGGGACTGGGCTGGAGTGTGGACTGGCAAGCAAGTCTGAGGCACGGTACCAAGCCAGCCCGTCTTCAGGAAGGCCAGTTGGCAAGTTCGCGGAGTAAGTGTGCGCGGGTACCGCCTTGGACGCGATCACCGTAGAAAGGGCTCTTGACTGGCTGGACGGTTGGACGGCTGTTGTCCCTGAGTGAAGCGTGCCCTGGGTAGATGCGTCGGTGAGCGCACGGTTTTGGTCAGTCACTTCACACCTAGTGCCCATGATAGAGGTTCACGTGCTGGGATATGCCATTTGGATACGCCAGTGTGTGTGACGCTAATGCAAATGACATGAAGGCAGATCGTTAGCTTTCTTACATTGGCTCATACCCTGGCGCTTACGTTGCCTGCCAAACACGCAACGAATGTCGGAGGACTGGGTGTTGGATGGCTTTTTCATTTCTTGATGTGCTTTGGGGCTCATGGCGAGGGGTGTGTGCACTTTAGGATACAGAACCTACCTTGCAATAAATCCGGCCGCATGTGCAACGATGAGATGCATATTATGGCGGCATGCATGCTGATGCTGGCTATAACTGATTGTGTGATATCCTCACATCCATCCCGTTCCCCATGTCCAACCCCAAACCACAGTTATGTAAATTTGTTTGCACGTAAAGAGTGTAGAGAGAGAAGATTGATTACAAAGATTGCAGAGAGACTACCTCCATTAACGTTCGACCGTGGACCTTAGCTAGAACATCACCGGGCTAGCACCCTTTAGGCCAATCCAGCATTGCATTCGCTCTTAGAACAGCTCTTGTTGAAGCTTTTACGGCCGAATACGGGTTAGAATCAATAGAGCTATTAGGCGGGGGTGTTCCACTCCGTCGTAATGTCTGATTGCAGCAGTGTAGAGGGGAACAAGGGTGAATATTTGAACTTTTAGTGTATAAAACATCTGCACCTGGATGGATATGGTCTTTTTTATTCTGACTACTATGACGATCGTGGTGTGACCCGCTAGAACGATCTCAGACCTTGTTCTCTGTTTGCTGTAATGCTACATGAGACCCTATGTTTGTACTGACAGCCAGACTGGCCTTTGTGAGCTGTCCCGGTACCGCAGGCCGAGGGAAGGCCCCTGATCACTCCCGTTTGTCGCCGTCTGTCCTGGTGCTGGAGGCCGGCTGCGGCCGGCCCCGGCTCACTCCCGTCTCCCGCCGTCTGTCCCGGTACCGGAGGCCGGCTCCGGCTCACTCCCGTCTGTCGCCGCCTGTCGCCAGATCTGCCTCATGTCGCGCGACATGCAGAACGTGCTGGTGGCCACGTTCGCCGAGCTGAAGCAGTGTTTCCAGCGCTCCTTCCACGAGATCTTCGAGTCGACCATGGCCAAGGAGTCTGGTGGCTCCTAGTCGCGCGAGTACCCCGGCGGGCTGCCTCTCTGCGCGCTCGGCGTGGGTGCTCCGCCGGTCCGTGGTATGGCCATGGTCCCGGCCCGTCTGGGTTCGCCGCCGGCGAAGGTGCCGTGCTGGGCTCACTGGTGTGGTTCTTGGTCACATGTGAGGCGCAGACTTGTGCTGGGACGGCCGGAGATGACGTGCTGAGGTCTGCAGGGGCCACAGGCATCTTGCTGGGTCACAGTGAAGACTGTGCTGGTCAAGGGCATCGTGCTGGGTCACTGGGGTCCAGGTTTAGTGACCTACCGTGACCCACAAGATGGTCCGTTGACCCGCTGTGTCGGAACGCCAGCAGGCCCTGTCGCGCGCGGCTGTGTTGGCGGGGCTAGCGGCCCTGCGCCGGTCCGTGCTGTACAGATTCTCCGGTTGTCCGCCAGATGTCAGGCCGGTAGCACGTCCGTTGCGGGACGGCTCACGTCAGGCGCGCGGAGAAGGGCGCCAGGCCCGTCCGTCCCGCCCTGCTGGCTGTGTGGCGTCGCCATGTTGGGGGGGGGGGGGGGGTTACGGAGGGGAGCCAGATGTGACTTCGGGAACGTCCGAGGTCTTCTCGGAAATGGGGATGGGCGAGGAGGGCGGAGGCTCCGTCCCCTGGAAGGCGAGGTCTCCGTGCCCTGAAGAGCGAGGCCCCCGTTCCCTGAAGAGCGAGGCCTCCATCCCCTGGAGAGCAAGGCCTCCGTCCACTGGAGAGCAAGGCCTCCGTCCCCTGGAAGGCGAGGCCTCCGTCCCCTGGAGGGCCGAGACTTCCGTCTTCAGGAGGGCGAGGCCTCTGTCCTTTGGAGGGCAAGGCCCCCGTCCTCTGGAGGACGAGGCCTCCGTCCGCGGGAGGGGCGAAACCCCCCTCCCCAGGACAAACATCACGTCTTTCCTGTAACAGCATTTTAACGTGGTGGACTCGTGGGATCAGCGGACAATCAATAACGGCAGGGGCTCTTAACTGTTAACCCATCGTTCTTGGGCTGCGCGAGATTGTTCAACACTCTGTGCTCAATTCGTCTAAAGTTAAGACTTCAGTTGAGTTGAGGCGGTCCAAAGCTCATCGGGTGGAGCACAATTTCGGAACCAATCTTAAGAGTAGAGATTCACTTCACGGGATGGGAAGCTGTCGGATCATCAATCATACACCGTATTTGGTGAGATTTTCTGAGAGTGATGCAGCCCAGGTGAGGCTAATACAAAGGAGCATCTAAATCATGTCGCACTAATGCATGCCGTCTGACTTTTTCAGTTTGATCTGAAGCGTTCATGTATAATTCCGCCGTAGTTTCTCTGTAGGGAACAGCGCAATCTTTGTCGTACTTATTTTGAGTGCCCGGACAATCGGTCAATATTGGGCACGTGCTTTATCTATGCCAAGCGCGAGTCGGCGTTTTCTGTTGCCAAATACTGTCGTGCACATGCTTTTAGATAAGTTTTTGTTCTTAACACCGAAGTTGAAGCTACTTGATTTGGTTCCTCCTCGCGCGGTTGATCGCAATTTATTGCTTTGACAAATGTGATGCAATTAAACCATACGGCACACCTGAATGCAGCAGGAGCCTCACATAATTTGCAGAGTTGCTTTTATCTTGGCTTTGCAGACTCCAAGCCTATGAAATGGCCTTTGTGACCGGAGACAAAATTTTGAGCGGCGGTTCGTGCGTGAAAGCGTGTGTTGTCTCCTTCTTTTTTGACTGGAGATGACGGCCTTGCTCTAACACAACGCGAAAGGTCGCGACCGTTCAGCGCCAAAGTGTCCACCGGCCCGTTCATTCGCAGTATTTGTCGTTTAAGAGTCAGGCTTTTGTGCATAATATTTAGCCTGCCTCAGGCAAGCGTGACATAGATCGTTAGAAACGCCATTTCTCCATAACTGTCACAGTTCCTCTTTTTTGTAAACGGCACACCGTTCAAATCTGGCTCAAGGCTTTTGTTGTTCCCGAGACATGCAGTTTGGATAGGTCATAGGATGTACAAGGCTGAGCTTTATTGGCTTGTTTTGTAACTAATCTGTAGTTCTTCTCAAATGGAATTTAATGTATGGCTAACCGTATATATGTCATGCATAATATATCGGTTCGTACTTGACTACTCTCAGCCAAAGGGTATGACACAGTCTGATGAGTTGTGTGGTCGACGTGCTATTTGTGAATTAATGATGCTGGTGTTCTTCTTGATAGATTCTTTTGCAAGTTATCTACCCATACTGTAAACTTCGGACCACTTCGTATTTTTGGAGCGCCAAAAATTAACTTAACAGCCAGGGCTGAATTGGCTGGCTGCGTCGTTGTGTCGAACATGAGCAGAGAGTGTTGACGGCGACGTGCTGTCGGGGGCGGCGCCTGGGTGCTGCGCTGTGCCAGCGCCTGCCCCGTCCCCGTCCGGTGGGCCCGCTCTTCCTGAGACGTGCCGCGGGCCTGGCCTGCGGTGCGGCGCCTCGTGTCGGGGCGCCCTGTACAAAGACTGGCCGGTCGGCCGCGCCCCGCCCCGCCCCGGCACGCGTCGCCCCAGTACAAAGACGCTGGGCCGCACGCCCCGGCGAGCTTGTCGCGCGCCTGGCGGCGGGCGCGCGCCGCGACGCCGGCGCCGTCCGAGCTGCGACGGCCGCCACCCTGTGGGCGCCATCGGGTTACGTCGTGCCGGGGGTGGCGATCTGTCAGTGTTTGATATTGGTAGCACTGTATTGTGCGCGTCTGTGTGCTAGTGATGCGTCAGTTTCAGTGGTTTTATCCTGTTGTCGACTGGCCGTAAAGTTCACATTCACGGTTCCACTACATTTTCCAATGATTTATTTACACGAATTATGAAGTTTTATACTATTACGTCGCAGTGGTGTGTGACAAGTGAACCGAATGTGTCTCAAGTTCCAGCCGACTGGGCCTAAAAGTGCTTTTATTTTCCTAGGAAGTGATTTTCTAGGAAAAGACGAGAAAATGCATTGTCATCATGTCGTAAAGCTGACACCATGTGAAACTGTAATAAAAAGAAATAAATTCTTTAAAAGTTGTTCGTCTGTCGTTTTACGAGGACTTCGTGACGTATTTCACTCCAAAGCTCTCCAAACGTTCCTCCAAAGCGAGGCGAAACAAGTGTTATTGCTAAATTTGTGTCTGATTCTACTAATGCCGAGAAACGAAGATACTGTCAGGTTTGTACTTTTTCCAGTTTCTGGTGGAAAAGGCCAAAGCCAACGAACAAAAACAGGAACTGGTGAAAGTACTGCCGTATTTCATGGTACCAACAAATAGCGCGTGCCGTTCATAGGGTTCACATCAGGACCGAACATGTGGCGAACTATTACATCGCAAAGGGCGAAAGCGTTGCTAAAATTATATGATATGACTTCGGAGAAGATGTCGCAAACACCTACGCATTTCTTCAATTATTTTACGGTGGGACCAATCCCGCAGTTTTGCTTCTGGTGCGGTGTATGTCTCCATTCGTTGTTTGCTGGTAATTTGCCGCATTTGAACAAAGTCCTGCGTATGCCTTTCCGTCACCCGGTTGATTGAGTCGGTGGCACCGGGGCTCGCCATTGTTGCTGCCCTGTGGCCAGTCACACGTGCGCTTGCGGCCTGAGCCATCATACCCAGTTGGGAGCCTTAGCCACGTTACTGCCCCGCCGGGCCGTCATGTGTCGCATTGACAGAGGTAAGGCCCTTGACAGATCCCCGTGTGTCCCATCAGTCCCCGATGGACAGCCCACATGCTGCTGGCACGGGGTTTTCTGTGAGCAGAGGGCACCGCCTGCGGTGCAGGCCGTGAGAGGGTCACGTCAGCTTATAAATCAAAAGGTTGGCGGACGGCCTCCTATTTTGTTGCCGTTTGGGAGCCCTGCACCAGTACTATGAGACGGCCCTTGCTGAGTTCTTTTCGCTCAATCACACGCCATTTTAAAATAATCGCTGTAGTTTGGCCAGTGTTGTTTCCAGTGGATTTGTGATGTTGCTGCTGGTCTCCACAATCTACGGAAATGCACGCGTCCTTATACAGCTTCCTTGAAAAGCTCAGAATGCGGATGAAAGAGTCGACGCTGCCAGCATTGGCTGTATTTCCTAAGCCTAACCGCAGGCACGGTCTTCGATAAGGCGCTGTTCGAGGATCGAGACAACCTGCTGACCAAAAGCCCGCTGGCTTACATTTTCGGTATTTGAACTGCACTATGTGACGCTTTCGAACGTACACGGCGCCGCCATCCCATTATATATTCATGGCGCCACCATCCCATCATAATCCCGATCATAACTAATGCTAAAATTGTGCTGTAGTGTTGTCCGTAGGGTTCCCATGTGACCTGTGACGTCGCTAATAGCCTCAGACCAAAGTAGGTCCTGGGCACCGCGGGCTTTTTGTGGGGCACAGGATGCTGGTGTAAAGTGCCGCCATGCTGCCAACGTGGCGGCACTTCATGAGCGAAATGACATTTTATGAGCGTAGGCTGCCCATAAATCAGACGCGTACGAGTGACATCAAACTCCGGACTAAAAGGCTGCCGGGCGACGGTCGGATGTTCGTCTGTTGTTTGATAAAGCTTATTTAACGCCATCAAACATGCAGTGGTTTATTGTCCTTGCTCGGTTGTAAAAAAAAAGTTGTGAACAGTGCCGTAGTTTCGCCCGTAATGTTTCCATTTTACTTGGAGGGCTGCAGGTGGCCTCCTTAAACTTTTCGGAGTACGTTCTGATCACCGCAGATTCCTTGAAATGTATCGAATGCAGACGTAAAGTACCCGCACGCCGCGAGCATTAGGTTTGTTTTTATAACCTTAGGGCAAATACCCTTCCTTAAATAGGGCGCCACGTGATGGTAATGTCAATCCACTGACCAAAGTGTTGCAGGCAACACGGGCGACATTTTGGTACCGTTCGGGTAGCCCTGTTAGTGCCCACACGACTTCACTTTCCTCGTTCAAAAATTAATCCTTTCATAAGTGTTCAGTTTCTTCCGAGGTGCTTCCACGTGACGCGTGACGTGAATTATTTGTCTCTTATCGCCGCAAGCTCGTTGTTAGGCACCGAATGCAGGTGTAATTAGCAAACGCGTTGCTAGCATGGTTTTTATAAGGATATTTCACCCGCGCGAGCTTCCATAGGACAGCGTGCGAAGACCATACGAACTTCATTTTCTTGCCCGAAAATACATCGTTTAACCATGTCGGAGCGCCGGGCGTTGGGGGCTGAATTCCGCCTCCACTCGTTATCTTGAAACGGTTTGGAGCATGCCTTTTAAATTTGAATTGTACTGAATGTTTTTCTAGGTGTTGTGTCAAAATGTCGGGTACATAGAGTGAGCATTGATGGCTCCAGAACCCGGGTTTCGAGGGACCTCAAGTGAAATTCGGCGGTCATGTCAAGGTGGTGATATTTCCGGAATTATGTATATATATATATATATATATATATATATATATATATATATATATATATATATATATATATATATATATATAGTCTACTGCCTCTTGCTTTTACAGACGTAACTGCTTCTTCTGAGTTCCG